AGCGCTGCACAAAACGAGGCGACAGTAAGAAACATCAAATAACTGTAGTCCTGAAAACCCAAGAAAGGACACGACAACCCGATGCGAAAGAGAAGACAACCTACAAACAGCAAGAAAAAGTGCATAGTAACACCATGAACGTCATAATGTCGCCAAGACGAAGCTCGCAGGTGGGACACCATCAACAAAGCCATCTGATCACCACAGAGATGGTGATACCCGCGTCAAAATACCAGACGCGAAGAGCTGGGGAGAAGGCCGAACCAGTCACATACAGGACCGATCCGACCTGCCGAAAGAGGCGGAGCCGCGGGAAAACACCCCGGGTTTGGACACCTATCAAGCAGCATCTGAAAATAAAGCTCGGCCGGCCACCAAGGAACCATAAGGACTACTCTTGTGGGAATGGGCTCCAACCGAGCCAGAACCCGAAGCAACAGCTGGACTGGGAAAAGAGGAACAGGTACCCCCACTTCGACCAGTCCTGCCAAAAAGCATCCACCGTGAACGCCTCGCAGGCGGGTAAGGGCGCCACATAAAATGGGCGATGCCTAGACCCTGCCAACTCCAAGACGTCCATGACCAGGAGTCCATACGTCCAGCAGAGCCAACGAAACAAGTCGGCGATGACTGGCCAATCCGCGAACAGAGGAATGAACCGAGACAGCTGTCCGCCAGGATGCAGGACACACCCCGGACATGAACCTCACGGTTAGCCAAACCCCGAGAATCCAGCAACGAGTCACTCTAAGGAACCAATCCCAAATGTCAACACCTAAGAGAAACCCTGTGGTTCCGGCAAAGAACCGCCAGAGAACAGTCCGAATGGAGCTGAATGGTAGAGCACCGAGGGACCCAAACCCTCCGAAGCGCAAACCAGACAGCCACGAACTCCCGAACTGTGCTGTGAGCCCGACGGATGGACAAACCCCACCATTCCCAGCCGACCTGGTGAGCACTGGTCACAAAGCCCCAGCCGAGAGATGACCCATCCGTGAACACATCGAGCGAAGGCTCGGGGAGGTGCCAAGGCACGGAACTCCGAAAACCCCAAAGAGGAAGCTGGTGACGCAGCACCAACACAAGATCTCTGGAGGAACGAACCCAACAGTTGCAAGAGAGGCGGCAGGGGAGTTTCCGAAGGAACCAAACAGAAGTCGAAGCCAAACCCGACCCCGCGGGCAGACCTGCACGTCGAAGTTCAGACTCCCGCACAACTCCTCAAGCAACCTCTGGGCAACCTGGGACCCCCTCATGAACAGCCGAAGGCGGGACCACAGCCACAGCAACACTTCTGGAGGGAAAGACAAGGAGCGGCCCCAAGAGCCCTAAACAAGGCTCAGCCAGGTCCGAACCCGGGACGGAAACAGATGGAATGGCCTCCAGATCACCAGGAAACCAAACCCGGTGATCTGGAAAGAACCACACCCCTGGCGAGCATTCAAGCAGACCGACTGGGAGCCCACACCAGCCAGTCGTCGAGGAAGGCCAGACACCGAATCCCAAACAGACTCAGACAGGGCACCAATATCCAGTAAAGATGCAAAATACACCAAGTGCCAATTACAAAATAGGGAAGGCAACAAAAGCAGCAAGCATGAAGCCCCACCACCAACTGTGCCAGTCCCGGAAAACTAGAGAGGAATGTGCCAAGAATTGACCTGGAGGTCCAGGGCCACCATCCAGGCACCTAACAGAAGCCGAACAGGAGACACCAGTCCTCCGATGAGGGCATAGAATCCAGGGCGCAGACTGAAGAAGTCCAGAAGAACCGCAGATTCGACAGGCCCATGTCTGCAAAGGGCAAATGGGAACCCTAGAAGGATGGGGTGGATCGATCACGTCCAACGCATCCACTAAGATGACATGACGAAGAGCAGGGGAAGAAGCCCACCCCGCCAGCCCTGAACCCCCCAAAGGGGGAGAAGCCGTCCACCGCCGCCACCAGAGGCCGAAAGACAACCAAAAGCGCCCACTAACTGTGGGACCATGCGAGAGTCAACAGAGCAAGCTGCTCCCCCAGCGCCCCATCAACAGAAAAGGGAACAGAGCCCCTTCCAAAAGAAAAAGTACACATACACATATACATGTGGTATCTAGTAGCCAGAATGCACTTCTCTGCCTACACATACACATACATATACACATACACACAAGGTATGTTACACACATGTGTGTATGCACATACACATGTGCGCACACACACACTGTGTATACATGTACATGTGTGCACACACACACACTCTGTATACATGTACATGTGCACACATACACCTGAAAAGAAAATTACAAGCTGCCGACCAGTGGGCAGAGAGCGCCATGCCGGCCAGGCGAAGAAGGCACAAAACTGCGTCAAAAGGCCCACCTCGACGACAAAACCTCAAAGTCCCAGCATGACCAAAACACATGCCAAGACCCAAAAAGATCAGTCTGCAAGCCAGGAAGACCCTGGAACTCCAGAAGGCAGAACCGGGTCACACACAAGGAAACAAAGACCCCTGAACCCACACAGGTAGCCCAAGAGGAAGAAACCTCCGGAACGAAACCAAAGAACCCAAAGGAACCCGGAATCAAACCAGGGGGAGCCCAAACCACCACATTTGCCGGCGGAGATACACCACAGAAAGGCAAAGCACAGCCCCCAGGGAAACGGTCAAAACAGACCGAAAACCGAGGAACAAGGTGTGGGAGCAAGCATAACAGCCAGGGACACTGAGCCCAAACCCAAGGGCCCAGACCCAAAACAGACAAAATGGAAAACCTGGAGTAAAATCAACACTCAAACATTCCCAGAGGAAAAGGAAACAGGCAGAAAACACCAGAAAAGCAAAGAAACGACAACGGGAGAATAAAACCCCTGAATAAAGGTGAAAAACTCACCCAAGATGCTCACTCGCACACCCAGGCGCATGTAAACAAACCGCAACGCCGCCCTGGTGGCCACGCCGGAAAACCAGCAGAAGAAAATGGCCACCAGAACAGAGGGCTGTGACTAACGCAAAAGATACGAAAACACACCAGCAAAACTGGGAAGCAAGCAGACTGGATGGGCGAAAAACTCCACCCAAAAGCAGAAAACCCAGGTAGGGGCAAACCGCCCCAGAACTACTAGCAGGCATCCCCCACAGCCCCGGGAACTAGCAACAGAGGCCCTGGGGCAGAGCTGTCCTCCAAGCCCTCCGCCCTTAAAGAAAAGGAAGAGTCCATGGGGAAAGGCAGCAAGAAAGGGCCGCTGGTAAGACCCAGAAGCCTTGGCAGGAGGAACAGGCTCGAAAACCACCATCCCCAACCTGAACAGGGCAGCCCCCGAAAACCGCCAGATTCTCGGCCCCAACTAAACCCCGCCCCGCCTCCATGAACAGGGAGGGAAAGGGGCGAACAGCACCTAACCAAAACGGGGCGGCCTCGGGGCATCCAAGTGGGAAACCAACCTAGCGTGTTGCAGCAACCTAACCTAGCTTGCAATACGGATGCCGCCTGTACTCTGAACAGTAATAACATCAGGAGAGTACTGGAGAACAAGCACAGAATCTCTCTCGCAAGACTCCGGGTCAAGGTGTCAGTGACCCAACAGGCAACATGACGTAGGTAAAAGTGGCGACTGTCACCTGGAGACAAGGGCACAGCAACTAACAATCCCGTACAAGACGGGTTGGAACCCGGAAGACACATTCAATGGTCACCGAGCCCAGACAAGGGTTTCCAGGGCCCGTAGGCTGACTGCTACGGGAAGCCCGGGCAAGGTGTTGCTAACCAGTTAAGAAACCCAAAAATAACAAGAGGGGAGAGGAAAGCACTGAAAACCCCTGCGACGTGTACAATCACGGGAGCCTAGCAGAGGCCCCCAAACACTACCAGTGGAACTATAGCCACACTAGGCAGACCCCCACCAGGCAAAGAAAAATAAAAACAAAAGAAAAACCGCAAAAGTTCACCATCTCTAGAGGTAATAGGAACCGGTCGCCGCTTAGGTGGCAGATCCCGCAACACCTTGACGCCCTAACCAGCACAATACCAGTCCCTACCCAGGGCCAAACAAGGGCTCCAAGTCCCAGCTGGCCCCAAGGGAGAGGTAAATGCCGAGCAGCAAGAACCTCTACGGGAATGGTTCCTGAACGCCCCATGGAAGACAACCCTGTCATGCAGGGGCAGTACTCACAGGGCGCTTAGGGAAGGAAGCCCCTAAGCGCATGCAGCCCCGGCACTGATGAGGTACTCCTGGCCACTGCACAACACAACACACGGCAGTGAACGCCACACAAGGCAAACACCGCCTAGGAAACTGAGGCCAGAGAAGCGTCTATCCCAGTTGACATTAGCTTACGAACTGAAGCTTGGCAGCCGGCGTGGTAGGTCCGGGGCTCCCCCCTCCCCCTCTCGGGGCGGGGAGGGCTGCGCGGACGTCGGCACAGCAGTAAAGTGTGATATTTGCTTGTTTGCTTATTTCCTTGGGATTGTAGGGAGTTTCTACCTCTCTGTTCGGTTTTTTGTTTTAGTTTTTTACCATGTGGAGTTTGATTTGTTATGCCTACCTTTCTGGGTGCCTAACCCTGGTCGATGGCAGATAAGGAAAACCCCAACCACAATGGGGTTTTCCAGGGCCATTGCTCCCTTAAACCTCTCTGAAGGGGCCAGGTTCTGGCGCTGGTCCCTGGTAGGTCTGAACTCCTTAGCTAATGTCCTGGTCTACTATAACATACATTAGCCCGATAAGCTCCAGGGAGCTGTAGGGGCTCCCCACAGAAAACCCTGGTTTGTGTCTCGGAGAGACTGCAGGATCCAATAAGTTCAGTAGAACTTCGGTTTCAACTCTTTTGACCATATCGTAGCTCAGTCGATTAAGGCAGCGTCTGGGATGCTCTTGGATGCAGGTTCCAATCCTCGTCACGGCCCTTGTGGATTTGTTCATACAATTTCACATTTTTTACACTTCATCCATAGCAGCTATAGATTCTGCCTTTTTTGGAGGATGGATTATACAATGACATAATGAAACTTACTCGAATGAATGCTTGCGCATAGCTGCCTCCTGGGAACTGAGTGATTGTCCAAGTGATAGTTTTATTGTCAGGTGAGAAGTGCACACTCTGCTCCCGAGGTCCAGAGGTTCTTGACATGACAGCAGCTGTGGTGGGAGGAGCAACTGTTCGAAAGGTCACCTGCGGCGCTATGGTGCCCATTCCTGTATTGCTTGTTAGCTTCAATCTTAGCTCTGCATCACTAAAATCAACAAAAACCAGCATTGAATGTAATGAAATGCCATTTTCTGGGGGAGCTCCATCAGCTCCCTGAAGCTAACTGACCTGATATGTGCTATCTCTCTCCCTCAGATAGGCACAGGGAGCAATGGCATACGACCACTCTACATTTAAATTATGTCGTATTCCACTATCAACCTGGGTGGGCACCCAGAAAGATAGGCAAGCCAATTTAAACAACTAGCCAGTAAAATCCAACCTACAGCCCAAAAACACAAAGCAACTCCTACTAAAAGCAAAGCAGAAAATAATGGAAACTGGTAACCTTGCCTTCAACTAGTACTCCCGCTCGTTAGTGTATCCCTCCACCTCACAGGGGGAGGGGGAGCCCGCTCAGGCGAGCCAGCTACTTGCCAGCTCAGTTTTGAGGCCTGATGTAAAGCCCAAAACTGCTGACCGGAGGGAGAGAGGATGTCAGGGAGCCTCCGGGACTTCTCCTATAATATGACTTTTCATTACATTCAATGCTGATTTTCTGGGGGGAGCCCTGTCAGCTCCCTGAAGCAAACTACTCACAGAGAAGGAAAACAGGGACTTCCCCAGGAGACGGCCGCACCACAGGTCTCAAGTCGAAGAAAGCACCGACGGCTGAACAGAGGCCTCAAAACTACACAAGGCTGAAGAGGGGCCTCGAATATATCTGGCATATATCATGAGATATCTGGCAGCCAGGGCACTGGTCAACTTCCAAATCCCCCCCCCCCCCCCACCGTGCCCAGATGTCAACCCAGGACATGTTCCCAAACACCTCGGCGAGCACTGCGTACTTTTCTACCGCATGGGATCGAGAATAGACCGCAAGCTGGCTGGAGTGAATGACACTGCAGACAACCTGAGACACACGAGCCCTGGAACAGGGAACCAGGAAAACTGGATCCATCCAAAGAGCATTCACTGTCACAAAACCAGTGGCCCGCAGGTAGCAGTGTACAGTTGCCACCGGACACAACAAGTGATGCACCCCCCCCCCCCGGCCTAACCAACCAAGCATCCAACACAAACGGATTCCTACGGAAACCGGCCATCTCATTCTCCACCAGAAAAGAAGGCTGCAAGCAAACAAACCGACCATCAGAGCCAAAGGAACAAAACCCCCCAGCGCCAGAGGAGAGCATGAAGTTCCACAACCTGAGCCCCAGAAGCCAAGGCCAACAAAAATAAGGCCTTACGAAAACAAACAACAACCGAAAGGGCCACCACAAATTGAGGAGAAGGTAGAAAAGAAAGAACCCGATCTAAAGACCAGGATGGTTCAGGTGGTGCACGAGCAGGCCGGAGGCGAAACAACGCATGTGAAATCTAGCAAAACGGAGCGGAAGTAACATCCATCTCGAAGGCAAGATGGAGCGGCTCCGCCAACGCCGCACAATATGAAGCGACAGTATGAATATGAAGCATGAGATGCTAGAAAAAGCCAAGAGAAAATGGACAAAACAACCCAATCCAAGATCGATGAAAATCCCTGAAGAGAAAGGAACTGATGAAAAGACTGCCAAGAGACATCATACTGTTGCCCGGAAGAAGACGGCATGTGGGACACCTTCCAAGAAGCCACCTGATCACCATAGAAATGGTGATACACCCGCACCAGAAAGACCAGACGCTAAGTGCAGAGCAGTAAAGAAAACCTGCAAGGTGCCTCACTGACCCAATCTGCCAGTAGAGGCGGAGCCCCAGAGAAACGCCCCGGCTTCGGACATCGAGCAAGCAGCACCTGAAACCAAGGCCAGTCTGGCCACCATGGGGCCAGGAGAAGAACCTTCCCCTAAAAGGATTCTAAACGAGTCAAGACTTGGAGCAATAGCTGGATCAGGGAAGAAGTACAGAAACCAGTCCAGCCGAAAACATCTACCGCAAGGCCCTCGCAGTCGGGGAACGGCACCATGGACAATGGGAGATGCTGAGCCCACACCGACCCGAAGAAGTCCACCTCTAGGCGGTCGTATGCCCGGAAAAGCCAAAGGAAGAAAATGGCAGCAACCGGCCACTCCTTGGAAGGAGGAAGGAAACGGGACAGGCCGGCCACCAGAATGATGGACACGCCCCTGAATGTGTACCCCAAAAACACAGCAAAAGCGCATCCCGAAGCTCAACCCGAAGCGATCCAGCCCAGAAGAGACACGTACCAAAGCGACCCCCCACGGGTGGGACAAGAAATGACGGGGAAGCCATCCAAATGGCTCTGGATCAAGGAGCCCCAAGGAAGCGGAATCCGGCGCAGTGCCTGCCACACAGCTGCAACTCCCGCACTGGGAGTTGCGGGAGTCTTTTGTACGGCTGTGAGCCCTATAAAAGACCACCCCCCGGTGGTTGAGCAGGTGGCTGAGCAGACAGAACATTGGACGTGTGATGCTGTGGTCCCGGGTTCAATCCCGGGCGCCGGCAAGAAACAATGGGCAGAGCTTCTTTCACCCTGATGCCCCTGCTACCTAGCAGTAAAAAGGTACCTGGGAGTTAGTCAGCTGTCACGGGCTGCTTCCTGGGGGTGAAGACCTGGTCAAGGACCGGGCCGCGGGGACACTAAGCCCCGAAATCATCTCAAGATAACCTCAAGATAACCCAGTGCCCCTGGCCGGACTGGTGAGCACCGGTCACAAGCCCCAGCCAATAGACGAGGCAGCCGTGAACACATCGATCAAGGGAAGAGGAAGGCACCATGGCAATGAACATTGAAACCCTGAAGAGGAAGACAGTGATGCAGCTACCAGCGTAATGACACTGGGGTGCGAACCCAACAGTCGCGAACACGGCAAAAGAGATAGCTCCGAAGACACCAAAACAGCCTTCGAGGCCAAATCCTGCCCAATGAATAAACCAGGAGAGCAAAAGTCAGGCTCAAGCACAACTGCTTGAGCAACCACCGAATGACCTGGGTCTCCCCCCCCCCCCCCTCAAAAACAGCCGAAAGCAAGACAGCAGCTGGAGCAAAGCTGCAGGAGGGAGAGAGACAGGCACAGTTAAAAAATCCCATACGAGTCCCAGCCCAGTCCGAACCAGATATGAAACCAACTGGGACTTTACCCAAGTTACTAGGATCCCGAACCTAGCAACCTGGGAAAGAACCAGATCCCAAGCTAGCAGACAAGCAGACCAGCCAGGAGCCCACACCACCCAGTCATTGAGGCAGGTCGTTGGCCAGGAAGACACCATAACCTCGAACACATCCTATCAGTGTAAGAGCAACCGAACTCAAACAAAAATTGAATCCAACTCAGAGGCGTAAACCAGGTCACATATGAGGTATGCACCAAGGGCCCCCCAAGACCCCGCAAGGGAAATCTTAGAGGAAGAAAACCTCCTAAAAGACGAATCCGAGGAACCCCTAGGGCACCTGGAAACAAATCTTGGGGGAGCCCTACCTACCACATTTGCCAGCGGATAAGACACACAATGTGAACGAATAGAAATAAAAATTTAATTGTTTTTTCCAAGAAAATGTCCCCCACGGCTAAAACAACCAGAAGATGGACAAGAGACTGAGGGCCGGTGGCTTGGGAGCCAGACGAGCATATAGGGCAAGTACCAGGCACAAAAACCGGTACCCAAAATAATAGAAAGAAATCAATCCACCGGACACAGACTGTGAACATAAGACTGAGGGCCACAGTCGCATACACAAGACAAGACAGCCCGGTAATACGAGATCAGGAGACAGGACCACCACCCATAAGCCCCCAGGGAAACAGGCAGGGAAGGACACAGGAAAGATAAAGAAACAAGACATGGAAAGTCATTTTTCAGCTTCAGCTTGTCCTGGTTAAGACCTATATAAAGTATGCACTGCAGTTGTGGTGTCTGTAATGAAGGTATGACCTAAAACCAAACCAGACAACACATATAATAAAGATTCACTTGCAATTGCAGGATAGGGTAGGAAAAAATTAATGAACAACACAAGTAGGACACCCATAATGGGACACTGGGGAAACAGAGTACCCAAAGGAGCCACAGAGACATGAAAAAGAGCTCTGCCTATGTCCATAGGCAAAGCATGAAAGAAAAGAAAAGACAGGAGGCAGTGATAAAGAGTAGGCTGCATATGGAGACCCTGAGGAACTCCAGAAGCTCAGGAATGTGCACCCAAGGAAAAAGACGAGAAAGAGGCAGGCCCGGAGAGCCGAAGTACAACCCTCACAAGCACAATGAGAAGAGGGCAATGAAACAAGTACAAACTTACCCAAACCACCGTAAAAACCTCAGCAGTGATGTGGGAAACACACACACACAATAACGTTCCACCACACCACTGTCATAACAGACAAACCGCACCAGAGGTTTCTGGAGCGGTTTCTATGACTTACAAAAGTGAAGGACCAAGTCACCAGTAAGAACTAAAGCGCAGGAACTAAGTGAGAAAGAAATGCCCCAACATAGGGGCTGATACCCAGATGCCACAAGCAAACACGAGTAACAACAAGCACAGCTGGGAAGATGCAAGATGACCAGTAGTGCTGCCCGGCAGCCAGTCACAGCAATACAAACAGGAGAGCAAAATGACCACCAAAACATAAACATCCAAGAAAAATGGATGCACCCGACCTGAAGGTGCGTAAATCACACCAGCAAACGTGGTAAAACTAATGCAGAAGGGAAGGAAGGGACGAAAAACCCCCACCCTCTACAGCAACAACCCTTGCCCAGAGGGCACAAAGGCCCAAGCAGGGTTCCAAGGAACCCAAGCATCACAAGTGTACTCCCTCCAAGCCCCAGGAACCCCCAATACAGGCCCCGGGGCAGAGCTCTCTTCCACGCCCACCAGGGAAGGTGGGTGTGGAAGAGGGCGTGGAGAACGGGAAGCCTTGGCGGGAAGAATGGGCTGAACCACCTTGGCGCCTGAATTGAAGGAGCAACCCTCAAAGCCACCCGAGCCTCATCCCAATCAAAATCCTGCCCTAATTCCAAAACCCTCAAGCAGTTTGGAGCTGGAAGCAGGGAGGGAGGGAGGAACAGGGCAAAAACACC